GTATAATAGCATATTGGACAAATAAAGGTATAAAATATGAAACAATAGAACGCGATGATATATTTTGGGATAACAAAATGTTTCCAAAACTAAAAATGTTTTTCTTCAACTGTCTTCTTCCTGAATTGGTTGATCCCAGACATACCAGAAGTATGTCAATAAGAAACCCTAGTTATATTATGGAAGCAAAAACGAAGAAAGGAAAAAAAGGGGATAAACTACACTAATACTTCTTTGAATTATATACTATTTCACATTGTACATATTTTGTTATAGTTTTATCTAAATAATTTAATACTATTTTATCACAATTATTATTCTATTATGTATTATAAAAATACCTTTATCAAAAATTTAAGATGTGTTTTTATTACAAAATAAATAATAATGTAATAATTTATAATGCTTATAATAAAATTAATAAAGCAGATGTTTATGCTTCGTTTTTTCCCTTTTCAGCCATATTTTTTTTAAATGTACAACCTATATTATGTTCCATATATTTTGATCGTAAGTTTAAAGGTAACCGAGGCTTGGGCGAGACTTGCGGAGTTAAATACTTTATAGTAAAAAAGGGTAGAATCATTTTTTTCCTACTATAACCTACCTAATAAATAATACTATAATTACGTTACACACTGCAGACTATTTGCAACTACTTTTCGTACGAGAAAACATAATTTCCGATAACTATTCGATATGCAATATTGCGATAACGATTACGATTTACGATAATGATTACGTCTATTTGGTGGATGGTGCGGAAGGAAGCGGTACCCGCATTGAGCCACACGCACACTAATATTCATTAACGACTAACACATAGATCCCGGGCGGCGACGAAAAGATTGGAAATTGCCTAAATSTTGCTCCTTAAATATATGGTATAGTGAGGCCCCTTAAGAGAACGCCAGAGCATATCCTCATGTGTTGTCTCCGTCTTACAAGTGCGTAACATGGAAAATTTACGCTCAGTAGATCACGTTTAGCTCAGCTCCATTAGTTTAAAAATTAATGTGAATTTGAACTCTTATAAAATTGAAAAGTATTCTCTGTGTTCATATTTTGTATTTATACTTTAAAATCAAAAGAAGACTTAATAAAAGCTCTAGGCTGAAAAACTGTAAGAGATAAAGTCTGTGAAATACAACTTTTTTAAGTACTCTGTTACATGTTTTATTTAATTTTTTATATATTTAATATACGGAGCCAAAATCTAATTGGACACTGTATACAATGCCCGGGTAATGTTAACTTATTCCAACTTTGCCCTTGAAAATCAGACATTGAGCACAACGCCCGACTTCCTCCTTTATACGTAACATATACACTTGTTTGTTAAATATATAATAATACAATAGATAACTATTTGGATATAAGTCATATTATAATAAAATAATTATTCAATTAAAAATACAAGTGTTGAAGTTTAACATTGCTTTCAAGCCTATTTAAAGCAACACGCAGACACAGTGACACGTAAAATTTATTATTAAGTCTTAGATTCTCGAACGGTTCAAGAAACACAATCTTTATTGCCCGTTAGCTGCTATTACTTGATTGACTTTCACTTTTAAGACTTCTGATCCCAATCGACTCCAGTTTATTGTTTCCAAACGGCTAACGTCAAAAAAGATCTTACGAACAGGTAAATTCCCAAACGAATACCTACCGTCGAAACTAAATGTACAAACTGGTATAACTGTATAATAGTTAACTCTAGAATAATTATTGGACATATGCACTCCTGTCTTACAAAACAACCTACATACTAAAAATAGGTTTAAATTATTACATACCACAAATGGATGTGAAGCGTTCCACAGTAAATTTAACAAAGAATTCAATATTACTCATCAAAATATTTTTAAGGTTATTGACATAATGACATACTAACCAATATACAATTTGAAACGTAAATAGAAGCTCGAAATCATTTTACTACACCGA